ATCGCTGAAAAAGAACCAAACACACGCAGTAAACAAACGATCTTAAAGTCATGCAAATACTGGCTGAATTTATTAGCTGTTGTGCATAGGTATACCCATTCTGTACAATTTGAGAGACAGGTAGTTAAATCTGTAGTTTGTTACAACTAGGGCTAACAATGATGTAGTCACTTCCCAAGGTTATAAAAAATTAGTGCTATTTCATGTGCCCAAAGGGCAAAACTGCCCATAACACTTTGATAAAAACCGCTTTTCTACCTCAATTTACTATTAATAAACTGTTACTGCAAATGCCATTTAGGATTACAGGAGAATAAAAGACATTTTAATATGGTAAGTGGAACAGTCACTCTGCCCACAGTGGTTGGACTCTAGAAAGAAACCATACTCAGGTAGATGTGGGGATGCAAAATCCACACAACCCTGGTGCAAGTGCATTATGGATGACCCATTCTCAAACTTCAGTCTGTTCAAGGATGCAAACGGAAAAACAAACTCTTAAACAGATGGCAGCTTAGTCTTCTCTCAGCGGCCATTAAATTCTGCTACCCAGCAACCACAGAAAGAAGATCTGAAACACCAGTGAAAGGAAACAAACAAGAACCCTGAAGAGGGCAATTAAAAAGGGAACTGTGTCAATGTGCATACACAGAACTAACCAAAGCCCTAGGGGGATAAATACTGCTAAGTACTAACAAAGCCAATTAAAACTCGCAGTGCTCATAGGTAAGATCCTGTCTGGCAGAGAGCAGAGACACTAATTAGCTCTTTAAAAAATCCTGGGAAAAAAAGTCTTCCTGTGCTTTTCCAAAGAAAGAAAACTAAGCAAATGAATTCAGGTATCTTTTAGCCAAAAAGGTATCTTTTAGTCAAAATTTTGAGGAAATTAATCATAAACACATAAAAGAATCTGCTGGCTGTCATTGGAAAAAAGAGTCCAGGAAAAGGAGGCTGCTATTGGGAGGACACGCCCCTTCCTTGGCGACACTGCCAGACAGAGCCTCACTCGCCTCTCTCCTGTGGCTACCTGCTAAGAACCAACAAGCTACCAAGAGCAGTATCTTTGGTCCATCTACTCAATGGTCCATTTCTCCCACATCAATCTATTGTGTTAAGAGGAGAGATGGATCTTCACAGGAAGAATGAGTTGTACACAGTAGCCACACATTGAGGGCAGAAATCAATTAACAAGTGAGAAAAATCTAGCACAATTTCTCTTGTGAGAAAAAGGTCTAAAACAGAAATCCTCCATTCTACCTTCACATTAAGTTACCTTGACTCTTAGAGCATTTCTTTGGTTAAATGTTCTATTTTCACTTCCCGAGGGCCAACAGACACAATGATTGACTTTAGCGATCACAATACGGCAGCAGAATAGTTAAGTACCTGTCAAGGCTCCAAAGCTTCACAGAGCCATCAGCAGCACAAGAGGCCAGGTTGACATCTTTTTGGTCCAAGGAGATTGTGGATTTGGGATGGAACACAATTGCTCCTACGTTTGTGTTATGGCCTAAAAGAGGGTGAGAGATGAAAGCTAAAGGGTTCCTGCTCCCTTATATTGTCGATGCCCTCGGGTTGATTTTTGTCTCATAGTGGCCCTGTGTAACGCAGCACTGCCCACAGGGTTCTGGGGGCTGTACGCTGCATGGGAGTAGACCCCCAGGTGTTTCTCTCATGGAGCTGCTGGGTGAGTGTGCACTGCCAATCTCCCAATTAGCAGCTGAACGCTTAGTCCCCCGCACCCCGTTATAACCTGTGTGCAAACACAGAGCATGGTGAACGGTACAGATAAACATGTCTCAGGGAACATGCAGATATACAATGGTAAAGTCACAATTTAACTATTAGAAAGAACTATTTAAATTTAAATAAAATTGTAAATGTATAGAACAAAACATTTGCCATTTCAACAGTTTTTCACAAGTATAATTCAGTAATATCATTATGTTCATCCCACTGTTCAAACATCACCATTACCTGTTTCCAAATTTTTCCATCACCCTCAAGAGCAGCTCAGTGACCCCTAAGCAATGAGTTCTCTTTTCCCCTCCCTTCCAGCCCGTCTCTGGCAACCACTAATGAACTTTGGTATCATACACCTGCCTGTTCTAGGTATTTCATATAATTGGGATCCTACTATATTTGTCCTTTGGTGACTGACTGACTTCACTCAGCATGATGTTTTCAAGATTCATCCGTGTATTCATACACATATGCTATAGCATGTATCAGGACTTCAACTCTCTGTATGGTTTTATGTAGCACATTTTCTTTATCCATCCACATGTCGATGGACATTTAGGTTGCTTCCACCTTTGGCTGCTATGAATAGTACCGCAATGAACACTGGTCTACAAGTACCTGTCTGTGTTCTCGCTTTCAATTCTTGGGGGTATATTCCTAGGAATGAAATTGCTGGATCACCCATGTTGAAGTTTTTTGAGAACTGTCAGACTGTTTCCCACAGTGGCCTCACCCTTTACAATCCCACCAGCAATGGATGAGGGTTCCTCACCCTTTACAATCCCACCAGCAATGGATGAGGGTTCCAACTTCTCCACATCCTGTCAACACCTATTATTTTCTGGAATCTTCCAATTAGAGCCATTGTCTCAGTTTTCTAGTGCTGCTCCAAGGGAAATACCACAACTGGGTGGCTTTAAAGAACAGAAATGGATTTTCTCAGTTTAGGAGGCTAGACGTCTGAATTCAGGGCGCTGCCAACAGGGACGGCTGCTGTCAGCTCTAGGGCAATAGCCGTCTCAGCTTCTGTAGCCCCAATGTTCCTTGGTCATCTTCATGTGGCATCTATTGTCCCCATTCAGCTTCTGTTCTCTGTGTCCACGCTGTTACTTGTATTTCAGATTAGGTTTGGGACACACCCTACACTGATATGGCCTCATTAACATAACAGAGAAAACCCTATTTCCCAATAGGATTATATGCAAGTATAAGGGTCAGGACTCCAACACTTCTTTTGGGGGGGACACAATTCAATCCACAGCACGCAGTTTAGTTGGCGTGAAGTGGTACCTCACTATGGCTTTGGTTTGCATTTTCCTAATGATGTCGACTATCTTTTTATGTTATTGCTGGCCATGTAGATTTCTTCTTCAATGAAATGTCTATTCAAGTCTTTTGCTTATTTTTTGATTAGATTTCTGTCTTTTTGTTGTTAAGTTGGAGGAGTTCTTATATTAAACTCTTATCAGATATATGGTTCCCTAAAATTTTCTCCCAATCTGTAGGCTGTCTCTTCACTTTGTTGATAAATCTTTTGATGATCAAAAAGTTTTTAACTTTATTTTGATAAGGTCCAATTTATCTATTTTGTCATTTGTTGCTCAAACTTTCATTGTTATATCTAAGAACCTATTGTTAGGAACTAGGTCCTGAAGCATGACTGTTTTCTTCTAAGTTTTTTTTGTTTTAGTTCTTACATTTAGGTCCCTGATCCACTCTGAGTTAGTTTTCATATATGTTATGAGGTATTGGTTTAGGTTCATTCTTTAGCTTGTGGAAATACAGTTGCCCTTGCATTATTTACTAGACTATTCTTCTCATAGGAGCTCTGGTGGTGTAGTGCCCAAGGCATCTGACTGCTAACCAGAAGGTTGGCAGCTGAAACCCACCAGACACTCCTTGGAAGGAAGATTGGGTAATGTATCTCTGTAGAGACACCGCCTCAGAAACCGAAGGAGAGGTCGCTATGAGTCAGGATTGACTCGACAACAGTGAGTTTGGGTTGTTTTTTTTTTTTGGTATTCTTCTCATACTGGGTGGATTTAGCACCCTTGTTGAAAATCCACTGACCACAGATGTACAGGTTTATTTCTGGACTCTCAGTTCTGCTCAACTTCTATACATGTCTTTAAAGAATAACTCAAAGAGTCATCCATGTATTCATTCATACATGTTGTAGCATGTATGAGGACTTCAACTCTCTCTTTGTGGCTGACTAATATCCCACATTTTCTTTATCCATTCACATGCCTGTTATTATACCAGCACCAGACTGATTTGCATTACTGTAGTTTTACAGTATGTTTTGAGATTGGGAAGTATGCATCCTCCTCCGTTTTTCATGACTGCTTTCTTTGGGGCTCCTTGCAGTCCCACATAAATTTGAGGACTGGTCTTTCCATTTCTGCAAAGAGGGCTGTTAGAATTCTGGTGCAGACTGTGTTCAATCTGTAGATGGCTTTAGGTAGTTCTGACATGTCGACAATATTAGGTCTTCCAATTTTTGAGTAGATTACATTTTAAGAAAAGCAAAAACAAAAAGCTTTGTGTTTCTGTTTTACAGCCTATAAAATGTCAGAGCTGGGTTGGACACAGGAGAAAAGCAGTGTATAAAATCACTATATTCCAGCTCCTGGTCAGAAAACAAGAAATCAAGGGTTAATCTCTTGTGTGTCAGGGAAGGAGCACCTGGAAAACCTTCTGTAGGGACACAGTGCAGGAGGTTTTATTGCTGAATACAAGCCACACCGGGACCATTAAAATTAAAACAAGATTCTAACTCACCTCGAAGAGTGTGAAGGAGGTTGCAATCAGGAACAGACCAGAGCTTGCAAAGCCCACTCCTATCAAATACAAAGGAAAGCATCTCAGCCAGGGTGGGTCTGGGAAGGAAAAGGTACCTTGGTAACATTACTAAAGGACGATCTCTTCTCACGCCCAATAAACTTTACAGCGGCAGACAGAAAAATAAAGACAAAAGGGCTTTAATCTGAAGGGTTGCAGAAGAAAGAGTTATAGCCAGGTCTCACGTAACCAGAGGCTTCTAGTAGGCTATAACTAATACAGTACAAGTTACTATTTCCCTTCACTTTTGGATCAGTTTGTAAGGGGAGGAAGCACAAATTAAACTCTAATATTAATAATGATACTACCACCTTGAACATGAAATGCACTTTACTCCTTGAAAGTATTTAAGTATTATTGTTAAAAAATTTTTATTTTGGAAAACTTTTTTATTTTTTTAATTTTTATTGTGATTTGGATGAAAGGTTACAGTATTTTGGAAAACTTTCAGCAAATTATCTTTGTACCCATTATCTCAATGATCTTTGTAACAGACTTGAGGTAGGTAAGGCAGGAATTATCATTTCTGTTTTATAGTTAACTGAAGCTTGAAAAGCTAGAGAGATCTGTATACTTCCTTATCGTTCTCCTGAACCACAGTCCCAACTTCTGCCTAGTCAAGTGGTTCCTGTGCATGTTAAGTTTCTTTTCTCATGCTATGACTACTTCCACAAACGATATAAAACAAAATAATATATCAAAACTACTGCATCCTAAGTTTATGCATATGGGGTGGTAAGCAGAAAACAAAATGAAGAGTAAAACAATAATTAACATTTGTTGAGTCTTTACTACACACCAGGAACTATCAAAGCAAAATGCTTTACAAACATTGTTCTATCCTGCTTTATGTGAGGAAAGTGAACATTACCTAAGTATCCTGCACTAGTAACATAACTAAAAAAGGAAAGCTGTATTGAGGTGTGGATACTAGTTGGTCCATAAGCTCACTGTCTGATTGGCTCCAAAACACTAGTAACAACATGCCCTGGATCTCTGGGGCCCCTTGCAAAGAGCAAGCAATACTAAGCAAAGCCTATATTCTATAATACAATGGGCACAGCACTAGCTGGTCTTCTCAATCAAGTCTGGTGTGATCCTAAGAAGCAGAGGAAGAAGAAATAGACATCTCAGAATAAGGTTAGTTTTTTTAAAAAAATCTGTCTTCCACCTAAGAAAAAAATGTCACCGTAAAATGGAACTTACCAACAAGCTGTAGCCAGCATTTTAGAATTGGGACTAAAGTGACAATAGGAGATAGGCCGGTCATCCCCAATCTGACTGCAGAAATTATTCAAAGACTAAAATATAAAATAAACAAAACAGTGATCATTAATAGGCTAATACAAGGGTTACTTGGCCTTTTTACCACAAATAAGGCAACTTTTTAGTTTCAACTGATCCCAAGATTTTTAATCCTTTTCTCTCTCCACTTTGCCAGGAGGCACTTATACTGATGCTCTGGCAAATAAATGGAGTCCAGGCCCCTCTGGACTCCTCCCACTGGGTCTTACAGGTCTTGGTATCCTAGCTTCACATCTAAACACAGACAGGAAATCATGGCGAGATCTAATGCCCGACTCTGACGTAATGAGGGAGAATAAAAGAGAAGGAAGGACCACAGGTCTCTGCTGAGTAGGAAGCAGGTTCCTGCCACCTTAACCAACAGGTCCTCCCAACAGCACAGCTCGAGCAGGGCGGAACAGGTCCAGCCACCTCTACTCTGTCACAGGAGGTCAGCGTGAGCGGAACCAACCTGATGGCAATGGGTTTGGTTTTATCTTCTGTTACATTCAGAGGTGAGCCAAAGCAGAAAATCTAGCAAATATTAAAAATCTTTAAGCTATTGAATAATTGCCAAAAATGTCTCACCCGAAGAGATTTGTGCAGCTCTTGCATCTGAGAGGTCCTGGTTGTCTCAGGAATCTCTTTATGGAGACGAGCCTCTTCCAAGCGTTTCATTGCCCTATGACCCAGGAACAACATTACCACAAGCCAACGGGCTGTAACCAAGCACCTACACGTCATCACTACCACTGGATTGATTTAACCATCACACTCATACAAAACAGATCCTCAGTCCCTGAGAGGGAACAAGAGCAAATAAACTTCACTTCTTCTTCTGCTGGCTCTCTTACCTGGGCAGTGAGTAATTAGCAATCCATAGTCTAGCAACCTTTAGGCTGTTTGGCCCTTCATGGTACCAGGTTTGCTGATACTGAAAGGCAATTTAAGAACAGAAATTAAGATCGGAAACATTTTTGTTCCCTTGCTATTCTAACTGCTCAGAAAGGTGGATGAGCACAGTGAGAGGATGAACACAAGCAGATCTGTTCTCTATAAAGTCGCAGTAGATAGTTTCTGGTTCCTTGTTAAAAGTCAAACTAGGAAAGCTATGGTTTTTTCCTGCATGGAAACCTTGTTTACTTCCATTCACGCCTACAGAAATTGTACACGACTGCCACCAACTAGTCCTGGATGGCAGAGTCTTCAAGGACGTTTTCCTTCTCTTCCCAGCAAAGCAAAGCACTTAGAACAAACAGAAAGAACTAGTCTCTCATTGCCCTCATGCTTACATTATGAAACCAAAGGCATATTTTACCTCTTCTTTGGACTTCTTAGATTTTTCATCATCTTTTTTGGTCTTTTTTAAGGCATCAGTACCAACCACTGAAAGAATATTTCTTAATCTGTAATGAAACAGATGAGAATTTACACAGTAAGATGAGACTGTAAAAAAGTCTAACAAAGGCACAAGCCCTTCCTACCATCTCTCACTACTTAAGCTCCTATCAATGTTCTTTAAGAATCAAGTTGTTACGCCTAAACTTCTTAGGCGTATGCTGACACACTGTGAAAATGAACCAATGTCACTGAACATGTAGAAATTGTTAAATGGGAGCCCAATTTGCTGTCTAAACTTTCACTGAAGACACAATGAACTATTATTAAAAAAAAAAAAAAAAGTAAATTAACAGGGAATCATACCTACCTACTCCTTACTTAAGGATCATCTCGTTATCTGACATTTCACAGTTAGGGCAATAGTAAAAGATCTATCATCCAACTATTTTTTGCATTAATGATGTATGTCTGGCAGTAATGAACACTGAGGTGCGAGGCAAGAGTGATGCTGGCAGTGATGTTTAAGGTTATGTGTTAACTTGGTTGAATCATGATTCTCAGGGGTTTGGCACTTATGTTGGGAGCTCTGGTGGCATAGTGCCTAAAGTATTTGCTAACCAGAAGGCTGGCGGTTCAAACCCACCAGACACTCCTCGGAAGGAAGGTTGGGCAATCTACTCCCGTAGCGATACTGCCCCGGAAACCCAAGGAGGGGTTGCTATGAGTCGGATTCGACTCATGGCAGTGAGCAAGTGAATGAGTATTGGCACTTACGTAATGATGTACTCACCTTTCCATTTTTGCTTAATGCCATTTTTCACTAAACAACCTGATCTTTGGAACCCACCATGTTGAAAAGTGAGAAGTGGATGTATAATACATGCAGCAAGTATGATAATGGAGGTAAGCACAGACTACCAAGGGGGAATACAGAAAAGGCACCTAACTTAGGCTTGCAGGACCAGGGAAAGCTTTACAGAGGAGGTACCACATTGGGTCCTCAATTAGTCAGGTCAAGGGGATGAGAATGGGCAATGATAGTCTAGGCACAGTGTTCAACAAATGGAAATGTCTAAAAGCAAGAAAAACATGTTGAGCTTGGAATCGCAAACAGTTCAGTACAGAGTGTAAGCCTTATCCTGGTGCAGGAAACGGCTGGAAACATAAGTAGGGCCAGGCCAGAAATGGCTCCTCATGTCACAGTAAGGAGAGTTTACATTCAAGAAAGATCTCTGGTCAAAGTACGGAAAATAGATTTAAGACAAAGACTGAAGGCAGGGAAACTAGACAATCTTCTGAGTCCTAATGGCAGACCTGAATAAGATAATGGCAATGGGGTTTAGGGATATAAGGATTCATCAATAAATAAGATAGACTTTTCTGGTGGAGAAGACAATTAACAAGAAAAAGTGTAGGGATTAGGAAAGGCTTCTTTGAGGAAGTGGCATTTATGCTGAAATCGAAAGAAAATATCTGAAGAAAATTCAGAAAATATCTGAAGAGGAAAAAGAACTGAGTGAAAAGACAGAAAATAGCTTGCGTATTCCAGGAAGACCACTGTGGCCAGAGTCTGGTGAACTGGGGAGGAGTGGCACAGGGTAAAGCTGGAGACCTTGTAGACCGTGATGAGTTTTTTACTCCAAGAACAATGAGAAAACACTGAAGGATTTTAAGCAGGTGAGTAGCACAACAACAGGTTTGGGGCTATTAAAACAGTCTAAGTACAAAGGCAACAGAAGCAGAGAAGAGGACAAATCGGAGGTACGCTTCAGAAGGTGCCAAAAAAACCAAACTCACTGCCGTCGAGTCAGATCCAACTCATAGTGACCCCTGCTTGGGTTTCCGAGGTGATATCACTACGGAAGTAGATTGCCCAACCTTCCTTCTAAGAAGTGGCTGTTGGGTTTGAACCACCAGCCTTCTGGTTAGCAGTCAAATGCCTCAGGAGAGGAGACTACCAGGTTTGCTGGTCCGAGAGAGCCTGGTAGAACCACTGAGACTATGGCCCCTAGCAGCCCTTCAGGTCTGGAACTGAACCCACACCTGTTGCTTCCAGCCAAACAAAAGACAGGCATAAGAGTTGAAGATTTACCTGAGGTAGATATACTCCTTGGAGAGAACAATCATGGGAGAAAGAAGGGCTGTTCATGCACAAGGAGACAGCTCAGGGGGCAGGAGTACATGGAGGGATGGACACAGGGAAGAAGTAACCAGTGGGAGGAAGTGGGAGGGGAGCTGTTGCATTCTTGGAAATTTAGTCAATGTTATGAGACAAAGTATATGTGAACTGCTGTGTGGAAAGTGAATTTGCTCTGTTAATTTTCACTCAAATCACAATTAAAAAAAAAAGAGAACAGACTAAATTTTGCTGATGAATCATAATGGAAGTGAGGAAGATTTTCAGCTAAGAACTATGTGAACGGTAAGACCGTTTGTTAGAACAGGAGAAGGGTGGGGAACAGATGAGTTCAATTTAGATGTGTTAAGTTTGAGGTGCCTTTGGGACACCTAGGCTTACAGAGATTTGGGAGCCATCAGAAGATACTAGTTAATGATCCTATGGGAGTGGATCTGATTGCCCAGGGTGAGTATAGGATGAAGGGAAAGAACTACAGCATATAAAAGTTAACCCACTTCCATCAAGTTGATTCCGACTCATAGCGACCTTATAGGACAGTACAGAACTGTCCCATAAGGTTTCCAAGGCTGTAAATACTTATGGAAGCAACTGCTTCATATTTCTCCTGCAGAGCAGCTAGTGAGCTTGAACTACTGACCTTTTCGTCAGCAGCCCACAGCCCCACCAGAGCTACACAAAGATGAAGTAGGGAAAAAAGAGGCCTAGAAGGCAAGTGAGAAGAATTAGCCAGAGAAAGAAGGAAAATCAGGAAGATGTGATCTTATGAGACTCAAGGAGAGAGAGTATTTCTAGGAGGGAGTGGCTGGCATTGTACTAGGGATGTATCTAGTAAAGCTGGGTTGGTGACCTTGATAAAAAGCAGTACCAATGCTGCAGGGTGACTTGAGGACAACTACCAACAACAGAAGGAGCTCTGGTGGCTTAGTGCCTAAGGCACTTGACTGCTAACCAGAAGGCTGGTGGTTCAAACCCACCAGCCTCTCCTTGGAAGGAAGGTTGGGCAATCTCCTTCCATAGTGATACCGCCTCAGAAACCCAAGGAAGGGTTGCTATGAGTCAGGTCCGACTTGACGGCACATAACAACACCACCACCACCAACAGGGCTCAATCAGTTTGCAGTGGGTGGAAGAGTCAATGTAAACAACTCTCTGAAGATGAAGCAGAGAAATGGGACAGTGGGTAGTGATGAATGTGGAGACAACAGGGTTCTCATAATTTCATGGGACTGAGCCTGCCAATCACTTCTCAATGACAAGAAATACATTTGATGGCTAAATATTCAAAGCTCAACCACAAATGTTGACCCAATTCCAAGCTCCATGTCTGTGTGTGTGTGTATGGAGGGTGGGGAACAAAGCATGTTAGCATCCTATTCACGGTTTACAAAAAAAATTACTAGTGGCATAAAAATTGGCCTAAGACTCAGATTATGGGCTAAACTCTATAAACACAACCTAACATGGTAAACGTATCACCTAAAGTTTCAGCTATAAAGACCAATAAATCTTGAACTAGAACGTTGTGATTAAGAAAACCAAACTAAACCAGAGTAAACATTTAGGGAGGGCACCTTTCTCTTCTTTCAGCAGGGCCCTCTCCAAAAAGCGTGATGGGCTCCCCCAAGGCTCTCAGGCAAGCCTTGACCTCCGAGTCATCCGTGGAAACATTGATTTGCCGGGCTCGCTTCCTTCTCTCAAACTCGGCCAGCACTTCTGCCTGTCGCTCACTGATGTGCTCTTCAATCTCAAACACTTCTCCTATGAAAACAGCAGGCAACATCAGTAAAATCACCAGATCCTGAAATAGCAAGAGAATTTCTAATAACTGGTGTCTGTGTATGTCCTTGAGAAAGGCAAGTTTCTAGTCTATTATGCACTTTGTAGATATAGTTTACAGTTTATTAAATTATGCCAAATACATAAAACTAAATGATACACCTTTAAAAGGCAAGAAAATGGTTCAAGCCATCTGGCAACCTTATACCTAATATAAACATATAACCTAGATGGGATCAGAAAGCAGGGGTACAGAACATCTCTAGCTAATGAAACAACCAGGCCTTTTATCAAGGCCTGGTTTTATCAAAATAGAAACATTTTAACAATTGTCAAAGCTACTCTGTAAAACAGGAGCTCTGGTGGTGTAGTACCTAAGGCACTTGACTGCTAACCAGAGGGTTGGTGGTTCAAACCCAGCGGCCACTCCTTGGAAGGAAGACTGGGCAATCTACTTCTGTAGGGATACCACCTCAGAACCCAAGGAGTTGCTATGAGTCGGATCAGACTTGAGGGCAGTGAGTTTGGTTTTTGGTTTTTACACTCTAAAACAGTCTCAGTACAGGGGCATTTACAAATGGAACTAGTAAAGTGGACCTAATTACCATGAAGAAGAGATTTCCAGGATTTTAAGGAAGCTCTGGTGGCGCAATGCCTAAGGCATTTGACTGCTAACCAGCCACTCCTTGGAAGGAAGGTTGGGCAATCTACTTCCATAGTGATCCCGCCTGGGACACCCAAGGAGAGGTTGCTATGACTCGAATCGACTCAATGGCAGTGACTTTGGTTTGTTTTTTTAAGGCTTTTTAAACTTAATAATAATTTTAGCACCCAAACCATGTATGAACATTTAGATGAAAAATAAGAGGTACAGTGGTGATACAGTTATGTTTAAACACAGCATAAAAGGTTAATGGGAGGGTCAACAAGAAACTTTCTGCAGAGGAATCTTCATTTTATATCCTTCTGTACCACTGGAATTTCCATGACAAATGTGTATTTTTATTCAAAAAATACAGTGGATTCCTAGTTACTGACATGGAAAGATATCCTCAATAGATAATAAAGAGTGAAAAATGCAGGTTACAAAACTGTTTGTATATCATGGTTCATTTATGGGGAAAAAAAACCTGTATATTTTTATAGCTGTATTAAAATTTTCAGAGAGACACCCAGTTGCCGTAGAATTGATTCAGAATCATGTCGACCCCATGTGTGTCAGAGTAGAACTGATATTCTGGAAGCAGACTGCCAGGCCTTTCTTCAAAGGAGCCTCTGGGTGGATAGAAACCCAATTATTAAGGACCGTAGGATTTTCTACTTCACACATTTCTGTATCATTTGTTTATTTTCTAGAAAGCCATTACTTTTATACTTCAAAAATATAGATTTCATTTTGGGTAAAAAAATATTAGAAAACTAAAAAAGAAGAAAAATTATGAAACATCATGAACCACACAGAGTTGCTCTAAACCAATGCCAGAACTAGGCTGCAGAAGACAAAAAGAATCAACTTGAGCCCAAGTACACACTTGAGTAAATTTATTATTAAAATTCCTAACAATTTTGGGTACATAAGACAAAGTACGGTCTTATGGACCCAAGTTTAAGAACTGAAAACTTTCGACACTACGAGATTAGTGACATCTAAGTCTGGGAAGGTATTCACTACAGAAAATCTGAGCATCTAAGGTGCAGACAGACTCAAACTGCATCTTACCAGAGGTTATGTTAATATTTCCTGCTTCGATTCCTGCTTTAAGTCCCTCTTTCCCCAAAATTCCAGACTCTCCTTTGGCCAGACGTTCCCTCTCCTTCTCTTCCAAACTTCCATAATAGATGTGGGGTTTCTTTACAACAGGAGCGACTAAGTCATCAGGTGCCTTAGAGGTTTTAGTTGCCTGCTAAACCAAAGAATTAGATTAACCAAAGTCTTCATCTTAATTTACCAGGCTTCTCCAAAGAAGAAGCATATAACCTAGATGGGATCAGAAAGCAGGGGTACAGAACATCTCTAGCTAATGAAATTACCAGGCCTTTTATTAAGACCTCAATCCTGAGCTTCAGTCCTATTTCCTCCCCAAATTACAGGACAAACTGGACACCTCTTAAGATGTTCTTCCTTGATTTGATGGGTCTTTTAGTCCCTCAATCACTTAAGTTTTGCATGCAATAGGATAAAACTAGTGAATTTCTCTTGGCTTTACTTTGAAACTTGTTAACTTCATTAAGTTTGGAACACCCATTCTCCTTGAGTTTTATTAACTTCCTCGGATCACTGTTCATCGAAGTACCAAGGAATTACTTGAAATATTTTGAATGAAAGGTTGGGTGTTTGAATGAAATAACCAACCTGGTGCTAACCAGAAGCAAAGTAAAGTTTCTGTTCTATATGTTTCAATTTTTTTTCAGGCGTGAGACAGTAAATATGAAGTTAAGAGGCCTCACTCTAAGTCCCAGGTCTGACACAGACACAGATCTTAACCAAGACACTTCCCTCTTTCAGGTCTCTGTTTTTGGACCAGTCCGTGGAAGCGTTTACAGTTTCTGTAGTGAGAACTACAGGACTGTAATGAGGCAGGTGCAAATGAACTAAATAAAGCACATGAAAGAGCTTAGGAACCAAGAAAACGCTGCTCATCTCTTTAAGAGAAGAAAGAGTCCTGCAGCCTCCCGCCTCATCCCTCCACCGCCTTAGCCCATTTCCCAACAGCCCCATACTGCAGTAACCACTCCGCGCTCCCTGCCAGTCAGCAGAGATCCCTCGCTCTGTACCGTGGAGGAGGGTCGTGAGGAGGCCATGCTGGGCTCCGAAGCCGCGAAACCCACAGCCCGAGTTCTACGTTCAGAGAGCCCACAGCACGCCCAGCTAAACGGAACTGCGTCACCGAGCGGAACTGGGCCCAGAACCGGCGCAGTTACCGGGGTGGCGCAGGGCATGATGGGAATCGTAGTAGGAAAGGTTCTGGTCACGTCGGGAGGCATGATCCGTGCAGCCTCCGAGTAGAGCACGCGAGAAACCAGAGTCTGTGGGGTGAGAGGCTCAGAGACGTCTGGGTAATGTAGTCCACTAGGCTTAGCAGTAGATTGGTGATGGGCGCCGAGGTTCCGGGAAGGGGCTGAGCTGAGCAGGCTTGAAAGGAGGTAGGTGTGTCGGGGCTAAACGTTAGAGGTAACTGTGGGCTTCCGGGGTCTACGAGAGGCTTTAATGTCGTCCTGGAGTGGGGACTCTTGTTGCCAATGGAACCGTCGCCCTGGGCCCCTGAGTGCCGGCGCCCTAGCTCAGGAGAAAGTGCGTGAGTTGTTCTCTGCTATCTGGAAGCCTTCCTAAAGGTTCCTTCTCGGTGAATCTGTGGGCGGTTTTGGGCAGCGGCGGGAGGTTAAGTTCCAAGAGCCCTCTAGCGCCAAAGTAAAATAAAGACATGGCCGACGAGCCATCGCCTGATTTGGTTTTAGTCCTCAGCTCGGTCTTTGAGAGATTCAGAGTGAGATGATGGATATGAGACTGCAGGTAAGCTGTACTCAAGCAACTCTCTGAACCGCCCTGTGCTTCGCTACGTACTGGGACGTCAGAGATAATACAGTGCAAAGTTTTTGTCCCCGCGTGGTGGCGGCAGCCGTAAAATACTGGTGTTTCCGGAGCTGGAGAATCGTAATGAGACTAAAAACCAGTTACTGTGGAGACGATCTGACTCATGGCGACCCCATGTGTGTCACTGTAGAGTCGTGCCCTATCGGGTTTTCAATGGCTGATTTTTCAGTAGGCTTGTCTTCTGAGACGCCCGTCCATATACTCCAACCTCCAGCCTTTGCGTGGGCATTTACCGAATGCCAAGTATGTGCCAGCAGGTTAATGTGCATTATGTGATTCAGTCACTACCAAAGGACGGATACTGGTGAGGAAACTAAGGCCTGGTAAGGGCTGAAGCTCATCGTTCACCGTCTGTGGCCGATCGGAGTAGTGTCAGTTTGCAGAAAAGAAAACGTCCCACTTTCTCTCTGTATTGATCCCCTCATCCTCCCTAATACTTTGGAACTGTGGCTTCTTACACCACTTGTTTACATCCCAATCTGGTAGAAGCGTGTATCTAATTTAGCACAAAGCAATTTGGATGTGTAATGTATTTTGTGTTGCTAATAACAGCCAGTCCCAAGCTTCATGGCAAAAGGAAACATGTCTTTGTTCACATACTTCACAGTCCCTACCTACACATAAAAATTTATATGTGCACACACTTTTTAAAGGGCTTTCACTTTCATCCTCACCCTGTGACTCATGTATGGTTATAGGGAGGCTGACGTAAGCCCAAATGGAATGGCTTGGTTGATTTCTTTATCTGGAAAATGAGGCTAATGTTGCCGGCTTTACAAGGTTTCTGTGAGGACTGAAGTAAGAATGTAAAGAATAGGAGTGGAAGAGCTCAGTACGATGCTCAAGGAAATTGCTCTCACTTTTCCTTATTGGGATTTCCCATTTCATTCAACAGACATTTATTTACTGACTGCGTGATAGAGATACACTCTACTGGATGCTGTGGAGACTGTAAAGATGGTGCCGTCAGTATCAACTGTGGGAGTTTTGCGTTCTTCTCAAAAATGTTTTTTTAAAGTCATTTATGTATTTATTTTATTAGCACAAGTGTTACCTTGGAGCCTTAGACTGTGGAGTGTTCCCCTGAACCTCTGTGCACTGTTCTCTGCCTGGAACCCTTTAAGCCCTTTCTGCCTGTCCTTCAGAACTAAGCCTTCATCTTTCAGGACTAAGCATCTCCTCTCGGAGGCCTTCCTCTGTCCCTGTCTGCCCCACGTGCCCCCCAGACTGGATTAGGTGCCCCTGTGATTCTGTTGCATTATCCTCCTCGGAGTTCTTAGTCTGTATTGTAATTTTCTGTTTTCTTGTCTGTTTTCCCCACAGACGGTGTCTTTTAACTCTAGCTTGGGCACAAGAAGTGTTTGTTGAATAAATGACTTACCCGTTTAGACCTGAGGAGAATCCAGTGAACTGGTGAGTTACAGTTTTTGTGATTTAGCAAATTTTAGCCTTTGGGAGTGATCAGAAATCTCTGACTATTCTCATACTGTGGATTTAACTTAATGGCTTAATCTACTCTCACTAACTATACTGAATTAAGATGTGATATTTTAACTTATTTTCTGATCTAGACTACTATTTCTTTGAAAGTGGCTGGTGCATGGCATTAAAGTGATTGTTGCCTATAATTGTCTCTTACCGGCAGCTTGCTATTTTAAGTTCTTGAAGAAAGAGTTTTTTGGAATTACAGAGTTGTGGATCTCTGTCCTGTAATAAAGATGTTCTTAATCATGCACCCAGAGACTTAAAAGTCTATGTGTGAATCCAGATTGGGAAAAAATATTTGGTAATAACATATCTGACAAGGGACTTATCTCTAGAATTTATAGAACACTCCAACACCTCAATAACAAAAAGACAAAC